ACTGCCTGGCGGTGGTGGCGCACACCTTTAATCCCAGCACTTGGGAGGCAGAGAACTCAGGTGGATTTCTGAGTTCGAGGCCAGCCTGGTCTACAGAGTGAGTTCCAGGACAGCCAGGGCTACACAGAGAAACCCTGTCTCGAAAAACAAAGCAAAACAAAACAAAAAAAGAATACAAAATGGAGGAAGCTCTGCACTGTCTTCCCCTGTAACACATGGTAGGTAGTACATGCCTATAATGACAGCATCCCAGCACTCAGGAGATCAAGGCTAGCTGGGGCTTTAGATCAATGAAGACTAGCCTAGGGAAAAATTATATTGTAAACAAAACAAACAACAACTTCAGCTCACTAGAAAGTAAATCTTTGAGAGACTTGCAAGTTACTGCAACATGGAGTTTTAAATCATTCTAATCAATCAGATTTCAATCTATTTAAAATTAAAAAAAACAATCTGTGCTCCCCATGTTCAATATCTAAAGAAACTTGAAAAACCATCAAATAAGTATTCTTGGGTCTAATTATGTGTCCTCCCAAGCCAGGATGAGATCCTCTACTCCCCTGACCCCCCTTCCCCCCCCCCCCAAAAAAAAGATCAGATTCAAGGGCATGTATCCATAAGCTAGTCAAGAGCCTAAGACTTGTCATGCCACAAAAGTTCTCCTCAAACAAGGGTGAAAGGGACAAAATTGTATGTAACTTAAAATTTCAAAAAACAAGGACTTAGAATATAGCTCACTGGTAGAACACTTGTCTACTGTGTGTCAAACCCTAGGTCGAATCCCCACCCAGCAGTTATTAAATAAATACATACAAGTTAGGTTTGGTGGTGTATACTTGTAATCTCGTATTTGGGAGGCAGGGATATCATGATTAGAAATGGAAGACTAGCCTCAACTACCATAGCTACTTTGAAGCCAGCTACAGGATGCTATGCTTAAAAATAAAATAGAAAAAACAAATGACAATAACAAGACAAAGAAATAAAATTCGGCTAATGGGGTAAAGGGAAATATGGAAGACAACCCTAAAGTCCATGGAACAATCGAAAGAGCTAAAATCAAGTCATGAAACAATGTGCAAAGGAATGACTCAAGAGCTACGAATGAGCAGAATCCATCCATCCACAGTAGGTAAACAGCATGAGGAAGTCTGTTAACAGCAGGGAGAAAGCAAGATAATCTAAGAGGAAGGGGTTTCAGAATTATCTGCGTGATGGTCAAGGTCCAAAGATAGTCAGATACAATACTACTCCAAGGTGGGTTGCCTTTAGTGTTTTAAAGCAGTTAAATAATACTGATTATATTTACATTAGCTTGATTGTTTCGGGCTGAAGCGATTGATTTATACGTAAAGAGAAAATCCATTCACATTCCTAGGACCTGCCAAATAGGATCTGCTACACCTTCGTTCTCAGAAATGTAACACCCCGAGAGGAATGAGATTTAACAACTAACAAACAATACTGGAGAGCAATGACAGCTGCAGCACAGTCTATATAGACAAAGATGCAGGTAGCAAGAAGGCCATGCCCACAGATCACAAAACCTCAACGGAGGAGAGGAAAAAAGAGTTAAGTCAATAGGAGGTAAAGGCTACATTATGAGGACACCCATACACAGCAGAAGCAAGGTAACATGCACAGAGAATCAGACAGAAGCTGAAGCAGTCATGACACTACACTAGAGATAAGCTTCAGAAACTTAAGCCTATTCCTACAGTGAAATACGGCTCGAGAAGAATACCCACTTCAAATAGTGTGACAGCTAATTTTGCTTTTTATCATACCTGGGAAGGCGGGACCTTAATTGAAGAATTGTCTCCATTATATTGACCTGTGATTAGGGCCACTTCTTGGCAGGAGGGCCTGGGCTGTATGACACAGATAGCTGAGCAACGCAGGGAACAAGCCAGTTAGCAGGGGTTCATCCTGTCTTCATTTCCTACCTCCAGATTCCTGCCCTGGCTTCCCTCTGTGACATATAAGTTAGACAAGCTCTTTTCTTCCCTTTCCTTCAGTGTTTTTATCACTGTAAGTAAGCTAAGACAAAAGGAAGACAGCTACTTGGAATTATACTAACGTAGTAAATCACTTTCACAGCCTAGCATGGGAGCTAATGAAAGAGGAAACGGCTAGGTTCGCTAATAAGTTTCTTCTTTGAAGAAACAAAGTAAAAACCTGTTATGGAAACAGGTCATCAGCAAAAAACTGGAGTGCACCAACTGAATAGATAAAACCATTCCAGTTGAGCACGGTAGCACCTGCAATTCTGGTGGAGTCATCAGAATCACTGAAGGTTGGAAATCAAACTGATCTAAGTAGTGAGTTTCAGGCCTAGGCTACAGAGCCAGAGCCTCAGAAAAGAAAACAAGCAACAATTAAAAGAAAAAAACTTCCAGCAATTTACAAAGGACGGATTGGAGAGATGGCTCAGCAGTTAAGAGCACTTCGTGTTCATAGAGAGGACCCAGGTTCTGTAACTCCAGTTCTAGGTATCTAAGACATCCGTCTTCTAACATTTGTCAACGTGGAATGAACTTACATACACACAGGCAAAGCACCCATACAGAGAAAATAAATGAACCTCATACAAAGATTATAGCAGAGAATCAGACATACGAACATTTGAAAGATAAATACGGAAGATATAAGAGCAAAATGCAATAAAGCAGGCACTCCACACAAATACATTTTAACAAATCCGTTTTCTGGGAACACAAACACACTCATGTCTATGCAATGCCTATATTTGTTTACATGCTACGACAGCCGTACCCATACGGCCCATGAAACCTAAACTACTGGGATACTCAATATGAAAACATCTCTTTAAGAACATAAAGCCAGGGTTAGCAAAGCTCAGCTGATACTCAAAGAAGGACTTTCTTTATGTCATGTTAGAAGCGAACACTGGAAACTCAGTTCTAGGAGATCTTCACAGATCATCTTAGCACAGTCACAGGCCTGAATGTGCTGGCATGAACACACTAACGACAGTGGGCTATAGAGATGGCTCAGTGGGGAAGGGTACTGGCAAGCGAGGGCGATCCCCAGCACCACATGGAGGGGCTCACAACCATCTGTAGCTCCGGTTCCAAGGAATCCAATACCCTTGTCAGATCTTCATAGGTACCAGGCATACATGAGGTATACACACATACATATGTAGGCAAACCACTCATACATATACAATAAAATTTAAAATATATATACTGTATGCAAGAAATGAGTCACAAATCATGGCACACATTTATAATTGCAGGCATTGGGGTGTGGAACTGAATCCAAGTCAGGAGGATCCCAAGTTCTAGCCTGTGTGAGCTATAGAGCAGTCAGTTTAAACACTGCCTGGACAACTCAGTGAGACCCAAAAATAAAATATTAAAAAAATAGAGAAGGAAATGATATAGCTCAATGGTAGACTGCTACTTACTTCGGTAGCCTGCACAAGCCCAGTGTCCACAGAATGCAAGGAATGACAAAAAAATTGGTAATGTCTAGATATACAGCTAGCATGTTTGCCTAGTGGACACTGAGGCTCTGTTGATAAAAAGATCATTAAAAATATTTCAAAACAAAAAACATTTAATAAGTGTATTACCAACTGCAAAATGATACTAATGTTCATTTCATGAAAAGTAAATACAGCCGGGCGGTGGTGGCGCACGCCTTTAATCCCAGCACTTGGGAGGCAGAGGCAGGTGGATTTCTGAGTTTGAGGCCAGCCTGGTCTACAGAGTGAGTTCCAGGGCAGCCAGGACTACACAGAGAAACCCTGTCTCGAAAAACCAAAAAAGAAAAAAAAAGTAAATATAAATTGGGCATATTGGTGACATATGTTTGTAATCCTAGTTCCTGGAGGTTATGATAAAGCAGAAGGATTCTGAATTGGAGGCTGGACTTAACTATATCACAAAACGTTGTGTTAAAGAAAAGCAAAAAGCCTAGTTAGTGGTTCAAGCCTTAATCCTAAAATAAAAGAACTGCTGAGTTTGTGACCAGCTGGGAATATCCGATGAGATCCAAGACACCCTAGGCTATGACACCCTGTCTCAACAAACAACCAAAGAAACCAAATTGAAATAATTATCTCCCAAAGTGATCTTTTCCATCTATTAAACCCCAAGAAAAGTCAAACTCACAAAAGTACACCAGCCATTTCAACTCAGGTTGCCTTACACTTGAGACCACACACTGCAAAGGAGATAAAGAAAGGCTAGGGAAATGGCTCAGCAGGTAAATGGGCTAACCATGTGAAAAGGTGGATTTGGTGGGAGCTACTACCTGTAACTCCAGCATCCCTACAGAATTGCCTTGAAGGTCCCAGGCAAACTAGCCTCGAGAGCACAGAGGTAAAAATGAGGACTAGCAAGCTTGGAGTACAAACAGTGTAGCTGGAGAAACAAGAGCAACTGTCAATGAGACAGAAGGAGAAAATCAACTTTTTTTTTTTTTTTTTT